AAAAAAAAAAAAAAAAAAAAGTGGCAACAATCACCATTATTTGATGACATTGCAGGAAAATTGCATCAACAACCACTATTGTTTGGTAAAAAACAATCAAGCCTTGATTTAGACTCAATAATAATGTATAATTATGAGTAAATCTCTTTTTTGTATATTTAGTGCGAGCCACATCACTATGATGAACTCGATGGATAACAAGGAAGCAAAGTAAATTGAAAAAAGCAATTGAACTCGATTTCTAGTCATTGTTGCAACAATCTTTAGTTGGGATGAACGTCAATTGGAGATCATACCAGCAACAAGAATTGAAATCTCTCAGAAATCTCTGCGGAGATTGAAATACGTTTAGAATATGTGAACTACTTTTGGTTGAAGAGTCTTGTTGATGATGGCTTAAACGTTATATTTATAAGTGTCTTAGCCTATCTAACTTGGACTTCAAGCTAACCCTATAATGTAATGACACCTGGATACAGTAGCTCTGAGAGATACATTGTCCGGTCAACAAGATTTTGTGAAGTGTAGCCACTATTAATTGTTTGGTCAAACACAATCAAGCCTTGATTAGACTCAATAATAATTACTAATGATGAGTAAATCTCTTTTTTAAATATTTTGTGCCAGCACTATGATGAACTCAATGGATAACAAGAAAGCAAAGTAGATTGAAAAAAAAAAAGAAAAGAAAAAAAAAGCAATTGAACTCGATTTCGAGAAAGGAATATATGACTCATTGTTGCAACAATCTTTAGTTGGGATGAACGTCAACTGGAGATCATACCAGCAACAAGGCGTGACAGAGAAATCTTCGAGGGTAATTTCGGATTTGGATGACGTTCGGAAGAATTGAAATCGCTCAGGAATCTCACCGGAGATCTCTTTGAAATATGTTTAGAGTATATGAAGTCATATGGGTTGAAGTCTTGTTTGATGGCATAAAAGTTATATTTATAGATGTCTTAACCTATCTAACTTGGACTTCAAGCTAACCCTAATCGTGCTTTAAAATTTAGACGAACGCGTCCGCCAAAAACGACTCAGAAGAGTGCAAATTTTGGTACAAATAGTTAGATATCGACATTGTTGTCTAGTGTGTGCAAAAGGAATTAATCTGTGGCCTTCTTTACTCCTTTTTCTAGTAGTGGGTTTGGATTCACATGAGGACAAAAATAGTGGAATCTACCTAATTGCAAGTACATTCTGTTTTTTTTATTATCTTTTGAATAAAATAATAAAGAAAAATAGTTAGTGTGGATTAATTCAAAAGTAATGCTAGGCTTACCATATTTTTATACCACATTGTGTACCAAATCTCTGATAGAGATGGAGCCTACCAATATAATGAGGCCCATCTCTATTAGAGAGGTCGTACATAATGTAGTATAAAAATATGGTAAGCTTAGCATTTTCTTTAATTCAAAACTAGAACTCAAGGCAGGGATCCGCCTTGATACGTGTGAGAATGTTTTCTCTTTTCTGAAGTTCGGATTTTCTTATTTTTTTTGGGTTTCAGGCTGTGCTGGAAATGGAAGCACAGCGTTCGGTTTCTTGGGCTGAAAAACCATGTCCTTTACTGTCTCCTTCTCACTGTCTCAGCTGCTCACCATATATATCGACACTAAAGCAAGCATCATATCTCATCTCAAATCTAAGAATTTCATAACTTTCCTCTTTCATCCTTTCTTGAGAATCAGTGTAATATATATAAATATATTTGTTCAGAACATGAGCGCAGCTACCTCAGCCTCTGAGAAACTTTCACAGATGCATGAAAAAAAGGAAACTCATATAGAAGCGTTTCTTTTACAGACCCCATATTCACACTTCACGTGCAGTAGAATCTATGATCTTCTACTTCATAAAATCATTCATTAAACTGGTTTCTTTTTGCTACATGAAGACAATGGATCACATGCATGCGAATTGCAACAAGAGTGCTCTGTGTCTGAGATTGAAAGCCCTAAAAAATCACTCCATATATAAATTAAAAACAAACCCACACAATTAATTTCAAATAAAATTACATATCTGAGAAAATATATAGAATGAAAGACGAACTTGAAAATAGTTATGATCACCATTTTAGCAATATGTACTAGTACTAATTAAAGGACTAATGTGCGGTCTAATACGCGTCGTCTTTTCGATCTTTCACTAGCATTTGAGCGTTCTAGTAAAGACTTCAACGCATTCTGCAAGAAATGGACTGATTCAATGGTGTGATCTTTATCCGCAGCAACGATAAGCACGTTGCGAATTCTTCCTCCGAGGGTGGCCATTTCAGCTTTGAGTGTCTTGAGATGGAGGGATTTTAGAATTTCAATTAGGTCAGGTAGGAGGTCGGTCCGGTCCTCGCAGCACAAAGAGGCCTTGAAAATAATTCTTCCATCACTTGAATAATCATCTGAAGAGAGCACAGTGATTTCATCAGTCTCAGAAGGGAAGCTCTCAAGCTCAGTGAGCTCTGAAGTTTGTTGTTTCAGCTCTTTCACTCGTTGAACCACCTTTGCTAACAGCGAGGCTTTGTCTGTCTGATAATTTTGTTTAAAATAAAACAAAATTAGAAATTAGAAGTAGAAGAAAGATAATAATAATAAGAAACCCTAATTGTAAAAAGCTCAGCAACTTTCCCAAATACAGTCTATGTACACTAAAGACCAGTCTGAGTACTACAATTCCATTGATCCCTTTTTCTTTTTCAGACGGTACTTAGAGTTTGAACACTTAAAAGCTTCAAAAGAACCTAAGCTTTGTATAGATCCAAGATCTTTGAATCTCACTTGTAAAAACAGCTCACTAGAAGAAACTTTTTTTCTGAATTTAATTAATTTAGAATGAATTAGTGAAAACACTTGATCCTTACACTAGTTCCAAAAAAATAATTTATGTACTGATTCTAATTAGTTAAACTTGTAATTTAGCACAAGTCAATGAACATAAAATCTTTGATTCCTTGGTCAAAAGTGAGATAAAGTCTAGGATTCTAATTCCAGCAGTACTTGCCAACTTTTTCTTTTCTCACCAACCAAACATCAGTCAACAAAGAGAAAAACGAATGCGGATGAAGTGAGAAACGATCTAAGACAAAGCAAAATAAATTATTAAGAGCAAAGTTCAAACTTTCAAACACAAACCCAAAAACAAACTTCAAAATTAACCTAGCAAAAAACAAATATATATGATTATAATTAACTGAGAGTACCTTGGAATTGCAAGGAAGAAGGCCTCGAAGCTTATCGAGATGGGAGTTGATTCTCTCTCTCCTTCTCTTCTCAGCCTCCTTGTGATTCTTGAGAGCAGCAAGGGCTCTGTCTTGAGGTGAGGTTTCATGTTCAGTGCTAACTCCAGAGCCCTCCAGAGGGTAATAATTGTAAGAAGAAGAGCTGCAAAAGCTTTGCAAAGCTGAAAACTGATCACAGCTAGCTCCTCCTGGAAACCCAACATATGAACCATTATTGTTGTTCACGTTAATTAACCCGTTTTGGGCCAAAAAACGGTAGAACTCTTGGTTTTGATGATCAGCTGGCTGCATATCTTGTTCTTGTCTGAGTCAAGTTTTTTTTTTTTTTTTCTCACTGAATATTGTTCTTGTTTTCTGATTTGCTTTTTGACCGACCAAGTGAGAGAGATGAGTGAGATACATATATATAGATATATATATATATATATATGTGTGTGTGTGTGTGTGTACTGAAATGAAATGAAATGAAAGTGTTGGAGACTTTCGGTGGTTTAGTCTTTTTGTCTTTAGGGTTTTATATATATCCGTGAAATTTGGGGTCCAAATGGGTTTTATATTTTTTCTAATTTTTATTGGGGAAAAGGGAGGGACGACAAAAAGTGGACTTCTTATATGATGATGTGAGTGTGACGATAAAATGCTCTGCATTTTTCAGTTCCATTTGTTTTTTTATACGGTATTTTCTAGGGCCACTAAAACTCTTCTTAGCATGTCTCCAAAAAACCGTATAAGATAATGGGATGAAATTTCCTACAAGTAACACCTTTTGAGATTTTTAGTGT